AAATCATACTTAGGAAATTGAATTATTAAAAAAGAAGAAAAATGTATGATGCAAGTTAATCTTTTTAATAACATACATAACAAATGGAAGCTTGGAACGATAAAAGATTGATATCTAAAGGATATACCTAATTATATAGAACTGACAAGAAAATTTTACAATAACAAAAAGGTTTTATCCCACTATGCGCGGTCAGCTACATGAATTATATTTCTCCATTGTCATATTATGATTCAAATTCTCAATTCAATTTAATAAAAAATTTAATTTTTAATACTTTCTAACCAAATATTTTAGGTCTACCTCTACCATTCTAAATATTAGTCAGATCTACTACAACTACTATTCTAACAGGGTCATTGGATGGTCGATGTTTTATGTGACCAAACCAACTAAGGTGACTCTCTCTAATCTTATTTGCCACTGGAGTTGCACCAACATTTTCATGCATATACTCATTTCATATTGTCGCTAAGTGTAAAGCCACTCATCCACTTAAGCGTCCTCATCTCTACAATACTTAATGTTATGCTTTTCTTTTAATGGTCAACATTCTGCTCCATAAGGCATTGCATGTCTCACCACTAACTTATAAAATTTTCCCTTAAGTTTGAGGGGCACTTTTTCTATCACATGACAGGCCCGATGCATTCCTTCACTTCAACCATCCAACTTGAATTCCACTATAATATCCCCATCTATTTCACCATTGCTTTGAAGAATAGATCCTAGATATCTAAAAGACTAAAACATGCACTCTTTTTAATAACTTGATCACCCAATGTCACAATCCTACCATTAGATCTATTACAACTAAAATTACACTCCATGTATTCGATTTTAGATATACTCAAATGAAAACTTTTACTCAAAGGTTGACCTACATAATTCAAGACAAAAATGAACACAATTCACATCCCTATCTCTCTAGTCTAATCTTGGATGATTCATGCAACAATATGATGTAAAGAATGTTTTTCTTATATGAGAGTGTTGAAGAAAAATTCTATATGAATTCACCACCCATAATCGATAGTTCTTTCACAAAGAATAAAATTTGCAAGGTAAAAAAAAAGCTCTATATGGTCTAAAATAATTCCCAAAAGCAAGGTTTGGCAAATTTAGAAAGGCAATGAATGGGACTGGATTTAAGCAAAGCATATGAGATCATACCACTAGTGGCAGAAATCTTAATTCTCATAGTAAATGTTGATTACATATTGTTAGAGGTGATGACAATGAAAAAAATGAATTGCTTGGGAAAAACTCGCAAAAGAGGTTGATATCAAAGAGTTAGGCATACTTAAGCACTTCAAGGGTCCAAACGTTGCTCAAACTGAACATGGAATATTTACTCTCAACAGCAACATATCATTAGCATATTCCAAGAAATAAAAATGGTTGATTGTAAACCTTGTAAAACTCTAACTGACTATGAGAGAAATTAAACAAAAATAAAGAAGAAATAAAATATATATGGGATAATAACATAGATTAATTGAAAATTTAATCTATTTAACCCGCACCAATGTAGACATCGTATTTGTTATAAGCCTGGTCAATCAATTAATGCACAAACCTATAGAATCTCACTTTCAAGCTGCTTATAAAATTCTTAAATATCTTAAATCAATCATAGAAGAGGGATCATCTACAAAAAACATGATGCACTACAAATTAAAGGTTAAAACTTCTTCAAGATATTATACATTCATTGGAAGTAATCTTACAATCTGGAGAAGCATAAAAAAACTTATTATAAGATTCAGAAATGAATCCAAGTTCAAAGCATGATATCTGCAAACTTTTGTGGATCAAAATTATTTTAGAAGATTTAAAAATCAAGTGAAACGGTCCATGACGGTATACTATGAATATATCTATCATCAGCATTGCTTATAATCCAATATAATATGATTGTATCAAGCCTGAGGAGATGGATAGATATTTCATAATAGAAAATTTGAAAATTGGTTCATTTGTATTCCGTATGTCCAACAATAACTTAACATGTCAACATATTCACCAAAGAACTCTACAATGTCATGTTCAAAAGTATTGTAAGAAAACTTGGAATGATAGATTTATACCATCCAATTTGTGGGCAAGTGTCAGATACAATGGGGCCCACATCCTATGTATGCTGACGCTCCCACCCCAATCTTAGTGGGACCCACATGTCACCAATCTTGATAAGGAGCTTGAGCACACTGATTAGGAATTATAGCCATTGGACCAGTCTAATTCATGTGCTCCCTCTAGCCACAATCTTGGGGAACTTTTTCTCTTTTTTGTGATTAGCTGTGATTTATTTCTTTTGTAAGACTCCTAGAATAATCTATATATACTTCCATACTTGGTATAGAAAAAAGCAATAAAATTCAAAGTATTTTTTACTTGTTTTCTTCTTTTTTGCACTTATCTATCTTTCAAAGTATATGTCTAGCTCTATTCTTAAATGCAAGTGCTAAAAGTATTCACAACCCACAAAAAAAAACTTAAGCTAATTAGGCATATATGCTAAAGTTCTATGTTATAAGTGTGAATGTGTGCCAAGAACAAAAATTAAACACAATGAAAATCCCCAATCCAGTTGGTTAATAACTTCAAGCGTATATTTGATTTATCTCGTTATATAGATTAATGCCATTCTAAGGACATTGTTATCTATCAAATGAAATGTTTGGTTCAATATCACCTTATTTAGATAATCAATTCACAAAACTCAAAGGCATTTAGAATAATCAACTTTGATTGCGACCTTTCCTCTTTTTTCCACCATCAAGATTGAAATAATAAATATAACATCCAATTTGGCCCCACTATTCAAATTACCCCAATCATGATTACTAACATTATTTGGACTACCTCAATGTGGGAGATAGCATCAAACCAAATATCTTTATTAAAAATAAGATAATAAATATTTAATCAGAGAAACATTAAACGCAAAAGGAGCTCATATTCGGAAAAAGCAAATATTGCAGCCAAATTAAAAAGTGCAAATGCATGATTTGTCCTAATGCTAAAATGTCCAAATAACGTTCTCTTTATAGTGCCTTGAGCCTGTTAATACTTAATAATTCTTCAATAGGCATGCACAAACAACAAAAAATAAGGAGTAACCTTATGATCAAATGATGTATGGAGAGTAAAATTGTATCATAAGTGCCACAAAAATCAATGTTCATCAGCCTAAGTGTCGTTTACAAGAATTTTCCAGATAAAAGCAGAGAATTGATGGTGAACTAAAGATACAATAAAAACACTATACAGGGATACCTCTATCAAAATCACACGAAAGAGGTTAGAAAGCATTCAAGGTAAAACACAAAGTTATAGCATTTAAAGCCAAAATGTAGTGGCGAGTGTAAAGTTGAACATGTGAGAGCAAACACAAAGAACAAATATCAGAGAAGCTAAAGAAATTTTTCTAGACGAGTTCATATGATTCAATTTTTTAGTTATTCTTTATGAGACTCCAAACTTTCAAACGCATGGTGGACTAAAGGTGAAAACCAACTTAATTATCAGTAAAATTTTACATTATCGGTGCAATTGTAACCTAACTGGGAAAAACATTATATTTGAAGCTCTGGATGAAAAATACTATTACCAAAATTCACATAACATAGGACAGATTTTGAAGGACATGGAGTTTAGAGTTGTAGAACACTGCATATAAAGTTTTACCATCATTAGGCAATTCAAATATTAGGTCAAATGTGATGTACCACTACTAGATGTATGTCATTTACTCTTAGGCAAGCCATACTTCTGGGAAAAGGATGTTGTGTATTTTCATATGAAACAAAAATACATGTTTTTAAAAGAGGGGAATAAATATGAAGTGCATAGATTAATTCCATAGGCAATTGGATCAGCAACTAAGCCAACTATGGTGATCAATCTTTCCCAAAACTATAAATACTTGCAACAAGAAACCATAACAAGAGCCATCCCAGCAAATGTCAAGTAGCAATAAAAAATTATCAAGAGGAAGTGAGGAACCTATAAATGCATTAGAAGGACAAAAAATATTCATGCATGTCTAAGAAGCCAATAATAGTGTCACCCTAGACTGAGACACAAATGAAAGAATAATTTGAAGCCGATAGATTAGCAAAGATTCAATAGGGCTCTTGCGACTAAAAAAACACACCAAAGATGAAGGATATCATCTCTGCATGGAAGAAGGAATAAAATTCAACTATTGTTTCCCTCGTCTATTATTCTGCATGCAAGGGAAGGCTACAGAAAAAAGAAACAAAATTAATTTTCAAGAAGGAAGAAAGGATAAGGACCTTAAAACTCAAGATGGAAAGATAAAGAAGGGCTTCATGTAAGAACCAACCATCATGCTTACTTTATGAAGAGATGGAAGAAGAAGGAGATCAAGGAGCCATTAAAGGATAAAATATAAGATTAGTGGACAAAAATCATTATTGTAGTGATAAACTTTAATTATTATCAGTCTCCTAAGCACAACTCTCTCTCTCTCTCTAGATCTCCTTATTAACCACATTTATTTCTCTAATTAACAAACTTTGATCGATCCTCATCATTTAAAGGCTAATTTTGCCAAATTGACTGGAAGGGTTCACTGTTTACATAAACCCTTCCGCACATCATTAAAGCATATCTAAACATTTTAATAATCAAGGCCATCAAAACAGCATTGATTTTAGAAAAGGTATCGCATCTGCACCTCTGCCATCTGTAACTAAGATAAATGAGAGTAACTTCCCGTTCTAGATATCTTTTTGAGGGTCAATGCAAAATCACATAAACTTAGTGCAGATGTTGTCAATGCCTAATTTATTATGAACAATCCTCAGGGTATATAAGGAAACTTCTGCTAAAGAAAACCTTTACCAAACTATCGCTCAAAATAATCTGATCTAGAGACCATCTTCATGACGCAATACAGAAGAAAAGTCTGGAATTCGACTTAAGCGATAAAACAAACAAAACACCTTTCTAAAATAATTCTGCACAGCAATTTAGAAATAGAACTAGAGAAACCGATTCACCTGATGATCTGAGATCTTCACTGGAACCAAGAAGAAGTCATTATCCACCTCTCTGACATCCTTAGTCCCAACAACCACATCCTTCTTCATCTTAGACACCTTCGGATCACCATCAACGGCTTCCGTATCAAACCATCCCTCCTTAAAAAGCTTAACGCAGATATCACTAAGCTGAAACGCCTCGAAGTGCACATCCGCTGCCCCATCCTCGTTTACTTCTAGTTTCACCACGGCCGTCACCCACTCCTCAATCCCGCCCTCGGCCTGCAGTTCTGCTGCCTGAATAACCTCCCTACTTGACATGGTGTACTCTCCCTTCCCCTCCCTTCCCACAGCTTGCGTGAAGACAAACCCCACCCTTCTCATCCCCAGCCCAGTTGCGATCGCGTCCACGAGCTTCTCCTCCTCTGGATCCCTCAAGAGTGTAAGGATGTCCTCCGTGCCCACCTGCGGTGGCTCGTAGATGAAGTCAACCTCGACTGCGCCCCCCTCCCCGATGCGGCCGTACATGAATCCCCCGCGCTTGATGGCGAATGCAAGGGTCTCGTTGACATAAAGCTGGAAAGCGTGGGCGGCATCCCGATCAAACGAAGCTGATTCGCAATGAGGATTCTCCTGTCGAGAGACACGCATCTGACGGGCAATGAGATCGTCCATCGTCATCTTGCGGCCGAAGGATCCGGCGGGTGTCACGGTGGCGGAACCAACAGGACCGGGAACGGTTCGCAGTCCCTCATAGGAAAGGAAGACGAACGAACCATGGGAGATGCCGAGGGCGGAGAGCGGCATGGATGGGTCCGTGAGGTCAGAGAGAGAAGCCACCTCGACAGGGGACTTGGCGATGAGGAGGTTACGGTCGCGGGAGAGGGTCTGGGAGGGAACAGGAACGCCGAGTTGGGACTGAATTAGGTTTTTGAGGGTACCCACGGTGGCGGAGTTTGGGTCCGGAACTCCGACACGCTCGAGTCCATCACGGCTGCGGACGCGAACGATCATCGCGCCGCCGTTGCTTCTGTCTCGCTCCGGCTGGGGCATTTCGTCGAGCAGTTGTTGCGCTGCGTGTGCTTTCTGAGAATTTGGTCGGCCGCAAGCAAGATAGGTGAGAATACGGAGAAGATGGGCGGCAAGAAGAGTAATTGAGAAAAGTGGTGGAGGTGAAAAGATTAGCGGAGCAGCGGCTGGTACTGGTCGATAAAAAAGCGGAAGATTCGAGCCGCATAATATATTCGATAAATCGCCTAACTATGGAGATCTACAAGCAAAGGAATTGTTGATTAGATTATTGTTATAAAAAATAATAATTCTTATCCAAATTTAGGTTTCTTTAAAGATATTTTTTTATTAATTTTAAAAAATAATAATAATAAATAGTTGCCAAAAATATGTTTTATTTATAAAAATACTAAAATGGTAAAAAAAAATCTTACTTGCTTTTTTAAATAACTTTCTATTTAAAAATATGATATAGTTTTCCTATTATTTTCTAAAACAATTTTTTAATGCAAAAAATTTCGAGTTCAAAAAAAAAAATTATGCTGAAAGATATTTTGAAAGCAGTAAAAAAGTTGTCTCAAATAAAATCTTAGTCTAATTTTATGATATGTTACCATTTTGATTTTGATAATTTTGGCTGGCTAACGTATTCAAATATGTAAATAACATAGGTTTTTCAATAAGAACGTTGATATGATGATATTTATTAATTATTATTGCTTAGAGTATAAAATCAAATGCATTCTTGATCGTATGAAAATTTGTATTCTTCTCAATAACTTTTGAATATATTATTAAAATCATTCATTTTAATTTACGTCATTATAAAAAAATGGAATATATAAAAAAATAGATTTAGAAACAAAATGATGAGTACATATGTGAAAAGGTTGGAGTGGTCTCAATGGCAGATAAGATTAGAAAGAGTAGTCTTATATGATTCAGCCTTTTAATGACCCCAGTTAGGAGAGTATATGTATTAGATTAAGTCTATATTAATACTTTGTTTGGGACGATTTTTTATTGCTTCTTAAAACAGCTTTCTTTCACAAAAATTAACAATTTTATACTAGAAAACTGTTTTAAGAAGCATTAAGATAGCCGTCCCAAACGAAACCTAAGAAGGGTAGAGATAGACCTAAACAGACTTGATTTGAAAGTATTAAAATTGAATCTTTTTTATTAGATTTAAATAAGAGTTTAACTCTTAATATGACACAATAGAGAAAAAAGATTCATGTTAGTGACCCCACATGGTGGGACAAAGGCTTGTTATTATTATTATTATTGATGTTGTATAAAAAATATAATATAAGATTATAAGATTCTTAAACATTTTGGGTGCAATGAACTTTTATAATGAATGCATCTAATTATAATACAGGATAATAATAATTTTAAAGTTTGAAGGATTTTAAATGGAGAAGAATAAATCTTTTGGTTTTTGAATGTTTATTATATGTTGGGCAATTTTTATTGGTAAAATACATGAGAAAAGTTGTTTTTAAAAAAATTGCTTCAATGTGATGCTTCATAATCCTTGCAATTTCACAATTTTTTGCTGACAAATTAATTCATCACAAATTTATGATGAACTCAATGTGCATGGAATTTTAATGTAGGCATTACTATCAACTATATTATATTTTGTTTGAAGATTATAGTCATGTGACTAAGCATAGATTTTAATGTAATTTTCAGATCTCAAAATGTTGGATTGAATTTTGTCTGTGACTAACACTGGAATTTTATTGACAAAGTAGTTAAGAAACAAAAGAATAAAATAAAAGTAGAAATAAAGTTTAAAGAGTTATAATATTTCTTACTATCATAAAGTAAAATGCTTGAGATAATGATTTCTTTCTTTCTTTTAGTGTTTCCTATCATCTCTATTCTATAGGTGGGGCTTAGGGCCTAGTATTGAAGGAAAAGTTGTATTTTAGTCAAATAAGTAAAATGTGTGTTGTCAATTAACAGGAGCCTAATGACTACCACATAATGATTAAAGCTCCATGACCAAAGCAATCGAGTCATCAAGCATTATTAATGACATCTATGCATCTATTGAAGCTCTTAGTATGACCAATGGAAAATCCTGTATATGTAGCAAACCAAAAGCTCAAAAGGAGCAATATTGCCAAGACCTCAAACATCACTTATTATCTATTGAGTTTCCTTTATTATCCTCTACAATAAAAAAAATAGCCATATAACACTAAGGTGGTAGTAATAAAAAGCTATTGCTAGTGCCTAGCCATAATGATTTTCATGATGAATGAACCACTCAAAATCATAAGTTTGATATACTCAATAATTGTATCTTCATTTATCATGCATTTAGTATCTCTATATCTTGGTCATGATTAAGTAACCTCACTCAAACCTAAACAAAACCTTTGTTTTGCTATTATGGGTTAGCTCATTTTTTTCCATTGACATTTGGTTTTATCCATATGAAACTACCACCACACCATTGCAAGAAAAGCATTATTGAAGATGAAATTTTGAGTAAACCCTGTATCATATACTATTCTTAAATACAAACTTGAAGAAGCTACTATGTTTGGAGGTTTTGTCCCCTAAATTCAACTTGACACCAACTTTGAGGCAACGTAGAGAAAAATAAGCCTTATGAAGCTTTTCAACTATAACCCTACGTGTCAATATTCGTAAATAGCTCAACATCACTCTCCTCTTTCCTTTACCTTGAGGAAAGGGAATCATGATTAGTAATTATGAAACATGCTTAAAACTCTCCGTCCCATTTCCTACTTCCAACTAATATCCTTATGCTCATGAAATCATGGAGGAAACTCTATCTAAAAACTTCAAATCATCTTCCCTTTAGTCCTATAAGAAGTAATTGACTTGAACAATCATATCGACAAGGGAAAGAAGCATAATTTTTTTATGATTTGTTACTTATGCTGAATTATCCCCTTACCATCATCATAACGGCTATCTAGAAAAAATGAATGCTTTAAAATAAGATACATTAATAATTTGACTATCACAATAAAAATATCAAAGACTGGTCATGCAATCTTATAATTGGATTTTAATTACCACTAAACTACTAAAACATACTGGACTTTCATGTAAGCAACTTTAGAAATCATTACATCAATTTGCTTCAAATGGATTATGAATACCCAATAGGGCAAAAATGTTATACAACATCAAATGTCAGTAATATGATTATTTTCTCTAGTATGTTGGATTATCATTCCATGTCATGACTATGATATCATAGGCTTTAATTGATTTAAGACTCCACCATTATGATCATATAGGTAATTACAATATTAATTATGCATGTTTCAACATAAACACAAAGAGAGTAATACTCTTGCCATTTTAAAAAGGTGATACGAAAAGAACATGCATCACTATTTTAAAATTGAAATTATACCATTAGATTGATTTCGTATGCTTAGTTTTTTAATTAATCAAATGTTTTCCTAAATGCCCATCTACATTGGTACATTCAAACAAGTATTATATCATTAAGAATATACAAAAATTAAGCACATTTTTAATTAAGCATTTGGATAAATATCATAAAAAATATTAATATAAAAAGCTTATGCATCTAGGTTTTACAAACGCACCAAAGTGAAAATATAAAATATAAAACAATTGAGCTCCATATAATAAAACTCAGTCCTAAATTCATACCCGAATGTGTCACTATACAAGAGGAAATATAATTTTAATGCACAAAAATTATAAAAATCAAGCATTCTAGATTATCCTTACAACTTTTAAAGGTATAAATTCTATTATTTTTAGGTGAAGAAATGGAATCTCTTGCCGACCATTTGTGATTTTATTGGTGAATAAGTTTTCTCTAAAATGTTTGAATATTGAGGTGATTTATGCTCTTTTCAATCTAAAATTTCTTAGGTCATAGTTTATAGGATGTATTTATGCTAAACATATTTTGTTTAAGTTCTCTAATTATTTATATTTTAGTGGAGCTTTTATTTGAAGATTCTAATACATATTAAGTTGTCCAACGAAGCTTTGAAAATGGATGCAATTTTCGTATTCTAAGATATAAATCTATTATTCAGTTTTACATTTCTTTTAGTATTTATTCTAAGTTTAGTCATATATCCTCTAAAAATTAATCAAGCCATTGTTTCTTTGACTCAATTGTTAGTTGCTTGAGTGTTAGTCAAGATAAATGTTTTGATCAAGCACTCAAGCAAATTTTAATTGTGTTCAAATAAGTATGATTACTTACAAAAATTTTGATTTTGCTTTCGATAAATCATTGTAAGAAATTCATAAACACTCAAACTTTGAATGCTTTGTCTCAAATTTTATTTTATTTTATTTGTTAAAAAGAAGAATGTTAACATTTCCACCGGGATAATATGTTTAACTTTGATGATGAATTGCATGAGAATGTTGGTCATCATAAAATCAATACTAAATGTAATATAACTAATAATACTCTTTATATTCTTACTAATAATGTTTCTTTAGATGCTCAACCTTATGAGATTTCTCCTAAAGGAGCTCCTACTAATGTTACAAAAACTTAATCATATATTTAGCAGGATTGCCTCCCAAAATGTGGTTGTCTTGAATAATCTACAAGTTAGAAGGCAACATCTTCCCTACCATATGGTTTTAGAATAGTATGTTTTAAATCAAAGTCGCTAAGATGATTCTTCTATTAATATTAGTACTTCTTAATGTCATAATGCATGTTGTCCTCTTTAAGATAGATAGATTTCTCTTCATTTTGTTAGCAACAACATTAAAGTTGTGCATAAAGGGAGCAACTCTTTCATGATATATCACTTTGAACCATTGCTTATTTCAACTATACCATTCAAAAAATTTCTAAGAAAAAAATCGATACCAAACTTCTCTTCAAAGCGTCCAATCACATGTGAAGTCTAGTAAATATATCAATGAATAATTCTATCATATGGAATATTAAGGTATGGTTGCTAAGTCATTCAAGAATAGAATTAAGATTCTTTATATTATTCATAACTTGTTTTGTATTTTGTTGAATTCTTGGTTTTTACTTATAAACTTGATTTTTTTAAATGGCTTGCTAATTTTGTTGGTACTATTTGTAATAATAAGAAGAAAATTTGTTATATTTGGAAAAATAGTTTATCTATGGATTTAATTGGTAACTCTGATGAGTCATTCATTTTCTTGTGGCAAATAATTAATTTCATCTTAATTTTCT